TGTTCTTCAGATTGGATAGTTTCCGTTGGTCTAGACTTTCCATTTGGTTCTTTTTCATAGTTTCTGTTTCTCTGTTGAGAGACCCTATGTGTCATTTTTCCTTCAAGTTTTTCAGCATATTTATAGTAGCTCTTTTGAATTAGTTGTCAACTAAATCCAACAAGGGGACCATTCAGTGTGCCTATTGGTGACATATTTTCCTAAATCTGGGTTACACTCTCTTGTTTTGTTTTGTTTTGTTTTGCGAATCTCATAATTTTTGGTTGAAAACTGGATATTGTAGATAAAAGAGTATAGAATTTTGGACAAAGTCTGGTTTTCCTCCTGACAGCCTTTTTTTTTTTTTAATTGCTGGAACTTAAACTTCATAATCTGTTTCCCCTGAGTTGTGGAGCCACTGATATATCTGATAAATGTTTCTTATTTTTATTTTCTTCAGTTGAGTTCCTAAAAAATTAGTATAAAATAAATATGAATTCTAATATAGTCTTCTGATACCAATGAAGTTGTAAAATAATCCTACCTTGAAAAAGCAATCATATTGCTCATCTTCTCAAAGTTCTTATCTTGCTCTCAACTTTAAAGGAAAAGAACTGAGAATTGAATATAAGACTTTGAGGCTGGGGAGTGGGATGGAATAGATACCACACTACATAAAGCTCTTTTACTCAACTTAGGTTGGCAATATTTAGAATTAGACAGAATATTCATTTTATATTCTTTGCTTGTTAGAACATTTTAGACTATTGCTCTTCATAGTCCAAGAAGATAGTCATAATATATGTTTGTTTTGTAAAATATTCCCATGATATTTTAGTGAAACCTTTTGATTTTAAGGAAAAGAAACTCACTAAAGACAAGCCAGAAAAAGAATGTTTTAGGGGTAATTATAAGAAACGGAAATCTTATGGGACAATAAAAAATGAAGTATATTCTGGTTTCATGAGGGAGAATAGTAACCCAGAAAACATGAGGACCAAGGCAGTTGCTCTCTCTGGCTCACTTGTTCTTAATTCCAAATTAAAGGAAGGGAAAAATCTGATTGGCACTGTTGCAGTGCCAATGAATTGGCTACATTTGAATCAGGTCGCCACCATGGCTGATATCATGGCCAGAGATGCAAGATCATGAGGCACGCAGGGCTGCCTACTTCAAGGGTTGTGGATATAGGTACTTGGAAACATGTCTGTTATACTTACCAGATGTTTGATGCCTTTCACATTTTATGAAGTTGTTAAATTCTCATGATACTATTCTGTTACAAAGGACAGAGTAAGCTGAATATTTCAAATGGAAAAAATGTAGGTAACCCTTATTTAACCTGCTTGACAAAGCTGAGTTTCAATTATTTTCCCTCAAACACAGAATTTTATAGCTTTAGCTCTGAATAGAATGTCATGCTAAAGCACATGCAACCAGTTCTCACACAGGTCCGCTTCCTCATAGAGGCATCCAGATAAGTCCTGGTAGAGATGAGATGTGAAGTCCTTCTTTCTTAGGAGGCTACAAGACAAAAACCTCTACTCCACTCTGCCACATGTTACTTCACTTTTCCACTTTGAACCGCTAGTCTCATCTTTTTCTAATTACCTCCCAATATTACTAATTCCAATTTTTTATCGTTGAAAGTCAAATTCCTCCAAAAACTAAAAAAAGGATTAATGAACGTTGGCTTTTCTTACTGTGGGAAGTATTTCAGTAGTCTAAGGCACTGTGAAGGATATAGTCATGACCATGATATATATTCTATTCTCTAGGAGAGAAGGCTCACATACAAAGTATACCATGGGATAGAGAGTGTTAAGTGCCACAATGATATATTAAAGCAGAAATCATCCTCTCCAGAGTAAGGGTAAGGTCAGGAAATTTTCAGAAAAATCTTTACAGCTCTAACTATTGAACTGGGCCATTAAGGGCAGGGGAGGATTTGCATTTTCAGAGAATGGGCTGGATAGGGCTCAGACAATTCTGAAATCTAGAGCAGAACTATTATTAAGCGCTAGCATCTCTTCTTAGGACCAGTTTGTTCCAATGCTTTCTTTCCTTAATTTGCATCTTGCCTAAGTTTTAACATTCCTTTTAATAACAAAACAAAACAAAACAAAGAAACAAAAACCCTCTAGTGGTTATCAGTGTACTTTTTGGAGTATTATCTTCACTGCTCCCACCTTCCCTATAGGCATTTTAGAATGAGAAGAGACATTCTCATGCTCCTGCCTCGCCCCTTTTCCTTGCTGCCTCTGCTAATATGAAAATAGCAAACATTGGAAAGTTACAAAGTTTTCATAATCCTGAAAAATTCGGGTTGACTTCTTTCTGCAATGGTAACTGAAAAGTTCCCTGGCTTTTTGCTGTTTACATTTGTTCTTGAGGGTGGAGCTCACCAAACTTCTCCCTACTTTCCAACATTCCTTACTTGCCCTAGGCCCACTTCTACTTCCCAGTAATTAGACCTACCCCGGTGGGGCAGCTAGCAGGTAAAAACTTCCCCTTCTCAAATAGATCATTTGCATTTCTATGGACCCTCAAGGCGGGAGACAATGGTTTCTAACCTTCACTGAAAACCAGGAATTCAGGCACTGCAATTTGCAAGAAAAGAGCGCTTTTGTAGGAGAGAACTTCATGGCAAAATGAGTTAGGATTTTGAGGAGAAAGTGCACAATCTTCAGAATCATTTCGGTTGTTTTAAGGACCGTTGGGGGTGAAAAAATAGAAGTCTCGAGAAATTCCCTTCAGACTGTTTCTTGGTGAAAGGAAAGGCCAATAGATGGAGGTAGGATAGAAGGAAGGTAGTTTTACAAAAGGTCACATATTTAAGGCATAGTGGAAAAAAAAATTAGAGGAAAGATGTAACACATACCCTAAGAGAGAAATTATAATCAGCAGAGCAAAATCCTGCAGGAGGAAGAATGACCATGTTTAGGAGAACAAGTATGAGCTTGTTCTTTTCTAAGTATGAGCTTAGAAAAGAAAAGGGCGGACACCTCTTCTTAGCTAGGACTGAAGAAAGTGATGAAGTGTAAAAACTGAGGCTGAGGTTTAGGAAAGTTAAATAGAGACAGCTCATGGCGGATGCCTCAGTCAAGTGTGAGGCAAAATCATGTGCAGAATTGGAAGAAGACCAAGTATAGTGGGGTCTTAAGGACAGCAGAAATAGGACAGGTTTGGGAGAAGTGCCCTGGATAATGTCCCTGGATAAGCGTCCCGGATAACCAACCTACTGATGAGGAAAGGAATTTAGAGAATCAGTGAAGACCCAGCCAAGGCTGGATAGCATAAACTTTTAGTGGAATAAAATTTCTTAACCCTATCCAGCAATGCTTGGTAGTGCATGAGCAGGTTCAACAGAAAACTTTCAACCAAGTATAAAAATTATGAAAAAATAATGTTGAATGAAAATATTTTAGGGAACATTACACATGGTGAACTTCAGTAACATCTTAATCATTACAAACTTGAAATACACAATATCAAAACACTCTTCAAATATGTGACCTGAGAATAACACAAGATTATTGGAGTAAAAAAAAAAAAATCAATTAGTTCTTGTTTTCTTCTTTCCATGATAGCCCAAGGCATGAAAAAAGGAAATATAATTTTTCCTTTATATTAGACACATTTTCCTTTCATCCAGTATTTTTTAAAAAAAAAAAAAAACAAATCATTGGTATCTTGTTAACACATTAAAAATGAGTCTTATTTATAAAAATTTGTATTTTACTTTTTCTAATCTTCTATAAACAAGGGCGCGCACGCACACACACACACACACACACACACTCCAAAAGCCAAAAATCAAAAACAGGATGATTTAGTTTCCATGATGGCAAAGCATGAGACAGCACTCCAAGGCCCCTAGTGATTCAAATTCTGAAAATATTTAGGGGGGATGCTCACATGTTCAGCTGTTTTGTTCTGCAGTCCAACATTGCATAGGATTATCGGTTAAGTTCAAATTTTACTATAAATTGTCGGAGATATTTTTCCAATCAAGGTACCACATTAATATTTCCTATCTATGTTTGTATCCTCAAATACAGTAAGATAAAGAAACAACAGCAAAGCACATTGTCCAACTTAAAATTCAGGACAATAGTTAAATATACGTAGTTTGCACACATATTAATCATTTTCTCTAAACAAAATATTTATAATTTCCAAAATCCTATTTGCTTTTTTTTTTTCACAATATGGTCCCCCCAGCTTGAGGGGGCAGTAACATAAAGATAGTTTTCTTACTAAAGAGATCAGTATAAAAAATGGGAAAATCATCAAAGAAGGAACCTCGGAATATCAGTGGCCATTTGATAGAGCAATACAATGCTTAAAAGCTTCATATATTCATGAAGTCCCACTTTAATAGCCAGTATCTAAATATGGAAGTTATTTACAAAATCATTTAGTATTGACAAATTAGTATAAAGTAACTTTAAATAAAAGCAAAGATTTATTATTAAAGCTCAAGATTTTTGCATGTACTTATTCCATAGCTCAGTGTTTTTCATCAAATTTAGAAATAAACTGGAAAATACCCATAAAAATCCATCAACTGTAATCTAGTTCTTTTACTCTCTTGTGAAATCATTAGAAGCATGGATTGACTCTGTCACTTGTGCCTTTCCCCACCCTTTTAACCTCTTAGGGGAAAGAGCAAACACCTGTCAAGTTCACAGCGCAGAATGCATACACAGATGGGTGTTTAACAAATATCCTTCAACAAAGAGATTGAAGGTTTGCTTTGGGAAACAGGGAACACATTACTTTATGTGTTGAGCTGATGACATCCATTATACAATATGTCAGCCTGTTTCCTTGCCAAAATATCATCCAAAAGAAATCCTTTTTGAGTCTTTTTTGGGTTGAGTTATAAGTTTGGAGACCCAAAATTTTGAGGCAAGATCCGCCCCAGTTTAGGAGTGGTTGGGAAGAACAAGTAGAATTCAGGAGTTTCAGTGACGTCAGGAAGAAGCAGCGATTTAAGGGATGGGGTGCAGACTCACCTGGATAAGCAGAAGCTGCACATATGTCAAAGGTCAAAGGGCATAGCCTCATGGGCTCCCAGACGCGGGAAAAGTGAAACGCCCACTCCTAGGCTCTCACCTTCAAAGATTCGTTTAGGGGTTCAGTTGTTCCTGCCTTTGACGCCAGGGACCAACTCTACCTTTTACAGCTGGAGCTGACCGGAATGCAAAGCAAAAGCTGCGTCAGATTTCAGAACCAGCTCCTGGGAATCCCCCCTGTTCTTCTTTCCCCCACCTCCTCCCGAGCCCAAAGCTAGAGACACCTTCATCCTCACTCCCCACTTTCTCCAGGCCCTTTCGCTCTTAACAGCATCGGTCTCTATGGCGACCTGAAACCGCAGTTCCCATTGGCCCGTTCAATATGAGGGCCGGGCCAATGGGGAGGGCCAGCCTTTTTCTTCTGACCAATGGGGTTGGCGTGGAGCAGGTCCGGAGACGGCGGCGTGCTGACGTTCCCGGGAGCCTGGGGCTGGCTGGGCAGGCGGGCTAGTGGCTGGGCGGGCGGCGGCGGCGGCCTCTGGGCAGTAGAGGGGG